TTCAAATGACTACATTTTCACAAGTCTGAGCCTTTGGTGAATACCTGTCCTGCTGTCCCTAAAATAGGAAGTTCACAGTTTTCAACTTTCTGCTCTTTTTCACTACAAACTCATAATAGCAGTGAGCACTTGCCAGTCTGAAAGTCTGACATCGTGCCTTGAAATTTCCTCTGCTAAACACAACAGTCCTTCACTTTTAGATTGGCTCTCAGTCACATCTCAGGACATTGGCAATCATGAAACCAGACTTTTTTCAGAATATAACTTAAATGACTTCTAGACCAGTTCCTGATGGAGACTTGGTTCCCCTATGAAACCTCATGAGCTGGACCTTCACTCTTCAAATTTTTGTCATCATTCTGGTCTTTCAGACTCCCACCAGAATGACCGATAAGCTTTGTTTACAGCATCATATAACAGTTTCCTCTGTGTTTGAAACATTTCGTCCTGTAGGAAGCTCCTTAAAAAAGAAGGTAAACAACTCCAAATAGCTTCAAGAAGTCCCTGAAACTGAACAGATCCACTAAGCCCCTCCCTGGCAGAGTAAGCAATAAAAGCGGAGAGTCCCCTCAGATGACTGAAGCCAAGTTGCAAAGAAGAATCCCAGAAGAGCAAAAGCAGCAGAGACTCTGAGACCAGACCAGCTTCCTGGAAGCAGCAGAAACCAGCCAAGATGGATGGAAGGTTAGACTGAGTAACTAGGAAAGGACACTCTCCAACCTGTTGAGCTGCCTACAAGCTGTGCAGTGTACTCCAGGCTTTCAGCTTTTGTTAACTGTCACCTGTGCTGGGGTAGGCCTTGGTGATGAAGCTGTATCTCAGTCACTCATGCTTCTATAAATAGGTTATCACCTATATCCCTGTAAGCAACCCTAATAAAACTCATTGGTTCAACAAGTTGGACTTCGGTGGTATCTGTACTATATCTGGTATCTATACTTTGGTGTGTTGTGGGATCCCTATCTGGGGTGAGTAGATCTGTGGATTGAATCTACCCCAAGGGGAAAAAATGTGCAAGAAGCCTTCTTTGTTGGTGGTGGTGTTGTTTGGGCTTTGGGTATTTGTTTTTCTTTCAAGACAAGGTTTCTCTGTGTAACCCTGGATGTCCTAGAACTCGCTCTGTAGACCAGGCAAGCCTTGAACTCACAGAGATCTGCCTCTTTCTGCCTCCCAAGTGCTGGGATCAAAGGTGTGTGCCACCATCACCTGGCTACAATAAGCATTCTTGGTTTTGTAACCCAAAATTCCAAACTCTTTCACATGCCTTTAAAAACAACTTCCCAAGGCCTAAGAAACACGATCAGTTTTATCACAACCCTACTTCTTAGCACCAGCTTTTCTTCCCGAGTTACTCTTCTCACTTGTGGTAACATATTAGACAACAGCAACTAGAGGAAGGTAGGGTTTGTTTTGGCCTACAGTTGAAGGGTACAGTCCACCACCATGGGAAGGCATGCCAGTGGGAGCATAGGGCATCTGCATTCAGGAAGTAGAGAAAATGAATACCAGCATTCATAATGAATTCAGTAATCAGCTCAGTTCGAGACCACAGTCAATGTCAGAGAAGATGGAAGATAGTTAATTCTTTTGGGGGGAGTAGTGTAGTGACAGGGTTTCTCTGTGTCTTTGGAGGCTGTCCTGGAACTCACTTTGTAGACCAGACTGGCCTCAATCTCACAGAGCTCTGCCTGCCTCTGCCTCCCTAGTGCTGGGATTAAAGGCGAGCCCCAAGACTGCCTGGCGGAAGATAGTTAATTCTTAGGTAGGTAGATAGCTAGGGAAACAGGTCCTTGATTGGATCAGGCTAAACTCCAATTAAATTCACTTTGATCCTAGGTGACTTACTTTCAGGTTCTTTTACAAAAAAACAAAAACAAAACCTCGTTTGGAAGGCTCAATCTCCCCCTACCCCAGGACAAACTCCCTCAGTGGACTCTTCTCCATGATAATTCCAAAGGTCACCTCTCTTGTCCCATCCAGTCTGGTTTCTGCTATTACTTAAAGTGACTCAACCCACAAAGGCATCATGCACTGCTGACCAATTCAAAGAGAAAAGGGACCCAGTTCAGATCTACACTCCATTAAAAAAAAAAAAGTAACAGTCCAGATGTTTGGGGGGGGGGACAACAAATGGTGCTTTAACTCTGGACTTCTAGAATGTGGTTTTTGTTGTTTTCTTTGCAATGTATTTTGGCTGTGTGCTGTGGACTGCAAGCTTCTTGTTTTATAATTCTTCACCTGAAAGAGAAATGGACTCAAGAAAGGAGAGCTAGCCCCAGCATATGAAACAGTGCTTCCCATATTTACAGTGGTCTGTTCACCTCAATCAATCCAATCTAGAAACTCAGGCATAGCCACACATTTGCCTTCTAGGTGAATTGACGGCTCTTTAATTGACAATCAGTAGTAACCATCAAAATCACAAAAATGCAGATGAAAAAAAGAACACATCGTGACGGAAATGCTCCAGGTCTTCTGCTAGGTGTTGGTTTCATGAATGTTTATTACGTCATAACTAATAAGTAAGTAAGGGTTGTGGTGGTCTGAATGAGAATAGCCCGCATAGGCTCACATATTGGAATGCTTGGTCCCTAGTTGGTAGACCTGTTTGGAAAGGATTAGGAGGTGTGACCTTGTTGGAAGATGTGTGTCACTGGGCGTGGTTTTAAAGCCTATACTAGCTGAGCCAGTGGTGGTGCATGAGTTTAATCCCAGCATTTAGGAGGCAGAGGTGGGTGAATTTCTGTGAGTTTGAGGCCAGCCTGGTTTACAGAGCAAGTTCCAGGACAGGTTCCAGCTACAGAGAAACCCTGTCTTGAAAAACAAAACAAAACAAAACAAAACAAAACAAAAAATTAAAGAAAAAAAAGCCCACACTATTCCCAGCTTCTCTCTCTCTCTCTCTCTCTCTCTCTCTCTCTCTCTCTCTCTCTCATGCTTATGGATCAAATGTAAAGTCTCCAGTGCCATGCCTGACTGCCTGGTTTCCCACCATGATGGTCGTGGACTCCTCCTCTGAAACTGTAAGCAAGACCCCATAAACTTTTCCATAAGTTGCCTTAGACATGGGGTCTTGTCATGGCAATGGAGAAGTATCTAACACAAAGGGCATAGTTAAGCTGATGACGGCAGTGTGCCAGGAACTGAGGACTATGGCTAATCTAATTTTGGTTATCCATTATCTTAAACATGAAAGAAACAAGGAAAGAGAGAAGATGACCAAGGCATCTCCTCTTCCTTCTTCCATCCACTGTCTTTATTTCCCTTTGCTTTGTCTTTAATCACTCATCCTTAAAACCTTCTTTGCTATCTACTTTGTACCAGGCCTTAAGCAGAATGCCAGAAGCACTGGGATGAATCAGACCTACAGCTTCACTGTCCTTATTGAACGATCACACTGTAGGCCAGAAATATTTACAAATATCATTTCATCCAATCTGTTATTGTTTTGTTTTGTTTTGTTTTGTTTTTAAAAAAAGAGTCACTGTCAGGTGCAAGACTGTGATCTGACAAATCCCAGAAGGTTTTCAAGATGTCAGAACCAAGTGCCGTATAGTTTTCAAAGAAGAGGCCCCTCACCCAGCCAGGGCTGCTCAGGAAAAATATAGAGTACTGTTCCTTGAGAAATTAACAAGAAGAAAATGTAGGCTTGTAACAAAAAGTATAAAGATGAAAAAGACAACTTTGCCCTTGAAGTGCTCTTATCTTAGAGTGGGAACAAGAAAAGATGCAACTCAACTTGGTATGCCAGACTTTGTTGACTCCACAAGGAAGGCCTTACCCCTTCTGAGGAGTGGGTGTGTGAAGGGGAGGGAGGGGGAACTGGGATTGGTATGTAAAATAAAAAAATCTAATAAAAAAGACAATAGTTCAAAAAAAAAAAAGAAAAGAAAAGAGGCAACAGCAGCATCGAGGGTAGGAGAGACAAAAGACACACACTGAAGGACATCATTCCCTGGAGTGCAGAAAACTCCCTCAAGGAGATATAGCGCATTCAGGTAAGTTAGAGAGCTACCTGGGGTAAGTCTGCATAAGGGGAAACGGTCAGCGTGTGCCAAGGCCGGTGTTGGGGAGAATGAGCGAGATACGCTTCGGGAGTTCTGTGGTTCATTCTGCCCTGTCCCAGGACCAGGTGAAAAGAAGTAAAATTAGATGAATGGGCAAACCCAGACCCCACTAAGAAGTATAAAGATCACCCAGTGGGTCATAGGTGTGGCCTTGAAGGATGTGTCAGGACATTTCTTTTTATGAAAACTGCCCGGACATCTAGTAGAGATGATGGCACCCGAGCTGAAGACAACAGGATCTAAGTGTTGAACTCCACTCCCTCAGAATTGTACCATACTGTAGATCAAGTTGAGCAGCCTATAGCTGTCGAAGACAGGCAGACCTATAATCCCTCTCTCCTGCCCTGCCACAAACCTCGTTCCAGCAAGCCTCTGCACTCCAAAATGTCACAGAACTCATAACTTTTTCTCAGCTGCCATAAAACCATGGTGAATGCTTCTGCAAGACCAAGAGACTCAGGTTTGACAGCTGACACTGGGAAGTAGATAGCAAACCAAGACTTGGAGAAGCAGAGGCAAGAGAAGGCCAGTTCATGGTTTTCCCGTATCCACTTACGACATTGTGCTACATAAATCTGTGTGACTGAAAAATATAAAAAGGATGTTTTGGACACCATCTCATAGACCTTCTGCCCCACGCATGACTCTTCACATTCAAAAATTCTAAGAATGCTGCAGATTTTAGTTTCCTGGTACGAAGCATAAGGAAAAGATTTGCTGAACACCTACTTTGTAATATGCTACAACATAAAACCACACTCAGAAGAAATTCTGTCCCTGTTTTTCAAATGAGAAGGCTAAAAGCAAATATCTCTAAACTGAGACTTAAGCTCATGGCTGCTTGGCTATAGGTCTATGAAGTATTGTATATTCTTTGGAACAAGACTATGCCAAGTTCATCAAGGATTTATTTTAGATAGACTTCCTGGCAATTAGAAATATCTTATATTAGTTATCTGATGCCAATTAATAAACATTCCCCAAATTCATAAGCTTAAAACCAGGCATTTTCTTAACATTTCCACCAGTCAAGAATCAGTGTAAAAGCCGGGCAGTGGTGGCGCACACCTTTAATCCCAGCACTCGGGAGGCAGAGGCAGATGATCTTGGTGAGTTCGAGACCAGCCTGGTCTACAAGAGCTAGTTCCAGGACAGCCTCCAAAGCCACAGAGAAACCCTGTCTCGAAAAACAAAACAAAACAAAAAAATCAGTGTAGCTTAGTTTGTGCCTCTGACTTGGGTTATCTTTGAGGTTGTAGTCAAGACATTGAAAGGACTGCAGCCTGATGGCAAGGCTTCCATGGTGGCAGGCTGAGCTCAGTCCATCACCAGGTTTCCTCACAGCACAACACCTAGCTTCCTTCAGGGAGCAATGCCAAAAGAGCAAGAGAGACAATGAGTGCCCAGCACAGCTGGTTTTTTCATTACTCAGTCCTGGGAGGGATATCCTGTCTGTCCTACTGTGTTCTATTTGTAAAAAGCAAGATGGCAAATCCAGCCTACACTTCAGAGGAAAGGGAGGGGTGGGGAGGATATGGCTATCCAGGGCCAGGGATTACAAGAGGGCAGTCTATAGGCTGCAGACTTCAGTTTAAAGAGCGTTTGATCAGGTTATCCAGGCTATTTCCCAAAATGGTGAATTGTTTCCTCTTCTTGTGTGGCTGTTTCCTCTGAATAGAAACATTCTCTCCAGGAGGGAAGAGAGACGTTCAATAAGACTCCAGAAGCTCATAAAACTTAGAAGGCTCAGAAAGCTCATGAAAGTTACAAGATTCACAAGGCCCCTTCTCAAGCTTGTAAAAGCTGGGGCTCAGGAATTCTTCTGACAGCAAGCTGTGCAGGGGAGCCCCAGTGATACCATTTTCCTGAGTTGTTATCCATTTGTGAGTGGGCTTTCTAGTGATAGTGCTGTGCTTCCATGCTCCTATTAGTAGCCCCAATAAATACACTGGTTTTCCAAACTAGACTTGGATAGAATTATTTCTCTGGTCTGTCATGGATACCCTATCTGGAATGAATAGACTTTCATTCACATTTCAAAGCTGGGGACAAACCACACCCATGCTACTCAGGGGGTGCAGGATTTGGGAGAACTTCAGTGACACCTGGGGATGCTGTTGTGCCCATTTCTTGATGCCCAAGGCAGAGTCACATTTGTAAATGCTTGTGTAGTGAATCTATCTGGCACAAAGGTGTGTGTTTGAGGGGGTAGTTTTTCAAACTATGGCTACTGATCCCTCCCCACCTTGTTCTTAAGCTGTTGTGAAGTCCTCCTTGCTGGAGAAAGAAATGAAGGTTGGCCGTTTCTAGGTAGAGGAACCATCAGCTGGAAAGTCTTGGTTATTTTATTATTGTTTTCAAGTTTAAGTGCATGAGTGTTTTTCCTGCATGAACATATGTGTACCATGTACGTGCCTGGAGCCCATGGAAGTCAGAAGAAGTCATCAGAACCCCTGGAACTGAAGTTCTGAATGGCTGTGAACCACCACGTGGGTGCTGGGAACCCAACCCTGGTCCACTTCAAGAGCAACAGTACTCTTAACCATCTGAGTCATCTCTCCAGTCCTTGGAATGACTTGCCAATGACTTGGAATCCCTTTTCTTCTGAGTTTTCCTCAGTTCTCATCTCATGCTGTCCAGTTCTGCTAGTACCACAGCAGCTGACAGAGCAGATGCTCCAGAAACATCCCGAGGCAGGGGACAACAAGCCAGTGTATGCACAGGTCACATTCCTTCAGCAGCCCTTCTGTGCAGTCACAAGGGCATTCAGAGACACATGGGTACAGACCTGTGAACATAGATGAAGCAGTATAAGCAAAATCATAAACACTTGCTCAGTCTACCCCCTTGTTTCACCACTGAGCTGTCCTAATTGGCAAAGCATCTTTCATTGCTCAGACTTCTGTAACAGCTTCCAAACTGGCTTGCGCTATCTATCCATTTATTCACTCTGCCACTGGACTATCTTTCTGGACAGCGAATCTGTCAAGGTCGAAAGGCCTGCCTAACTGATCTTGGCGGAAAGCCAAGCCCTTTGGATGGTCTTCAAGACCCTAAGTACCCTGCCTGTTTCATCTTACCTCCTGTTTTGGCTCACAGGATTGGATCACAGGTGCTTGTCTTCTGTGTCCATGAAAAAACGGACACTATCTGATTTAGAAATCTTTGCTCAAAGCCCATCAGGGAGGAGTGAGGTCAGTTAGGGCTGTGGAACGGACCCAATGTCAACTCTGGGATCGCAAGCAGGTTGCCCTGGCCAGGAATCTTGGCTTTCCTCAAGGAAACACATGCGAGAAGTACAGAGGGTCCCTCGCTTTGGTCACGCCCTCTTCCTTATTTCTGAGCTCACCCAGCTAGTATAGTTAGAGAGCAGCCCACCATCAGCGCCTGTAGCCCTCTAAGCAACGATCCTTCTCTCAGAGCGGGGAAAGGCACCGTGGAGCAGGTGCGGCATGAAATTGGCTTTGAAAGATGAGTTGGAGTCTGGCTTCAGAAATAAAGTGTGGGCATGTGTGCCTAAGGCAAGGGGTTTTATATTAAAGCATTCTCTTTCCCCGTCGCTGTTTCCCACACGCCTTGAGTACAGACACTAAAGCTATCTGGTGACAGTGGTGTCTCCTCTCTTCATCTCCCGCCCCCAGGGGCACCCACCCCGGCTCTCCAGGCACGCTTGAATGAATGGGGGAGGACCCGTGCGCATGAATGAGCGCGTGTGTGAGCGAGTGTCCAGGCCAGCCAGCCGGCAGATGAGTGAATGGCGTCCGCGCCACTTCGGCCCAAGGGCGCGGGCGCGGGCGCGGGTTCCA